GAAATGGTATTGAAGGGCTCATCCATGGCGATGCTCTTTCATGCAAATCTGGCCTCATCCTAATTTATGCTGCGGCTCAGTTTGCAAAATTTACATGACCATGCTTTTGCGGGGGCTGCGGGGATGAGGGATGGAGAACCGGAACGGAGGAGCAGCAGCTGCTTGACCTACTCCAAATCCCAATCCCAAGGATTCCCCACGGATTCACTTAAGTCCGGCTATATGCATGGCAATGGCAACATTTGGCTTTGGCCAGCCGAAAACTTCATATTCATAACATACACGGCCGATGTTTTCAGTCTTCCGCTTTTCTGTTCGCTCCTTGTTGCGGTCTTGAGACAGAAGTAAAGTCCTGGCACGACAAAAAAAGGACAAAGGACGAGCCTGGTGGACAGCAGCTTGGCTACTTAGTGGCCAAACATTTGACATAATCGTTGATAAGGGATTGCTTAGCAAAAAACGCAAAGGAAAACTGCGAAAAGGACCACGCACCATAAAAAAGAAGCAAAAACATAAGATAAATAAAAGGACAAAACACAATCTGGGCGAGTTCTTACCGAACTGAAATCGCAATTGGCTCGAATAAAGAAAAATAAAAGAACTTTCAAGCGAAATGTGGGTCAAGCGCAGAGAATTGTATTTGGTTGTGAGATTTATCGATGCCCTTTTAGATACACATCTAACTACATGTATGTCATACATATGTGCTTAGTCCATCATCAATATTTGTCGCTCCCTTTTTCAGTTGAAAATGCCAAAAATAATGTTGCATAAAAGCCCTATTTTCATCTTGCACTACTTTCGTGGCCGCAACTGTAGCCACTCGCTGCTGTCAATTCAACCAACATCACTCATAATTTAAATTCCCCAGCTGACGCCTAGCAAAGAAAAAAGATAGGAATAAAAACCGAAGGGAGAAATAGAAAATGTTATGCATTTTAATGTCGGATTGGGACACGTGTCCTTTAATTAACCACCGAAAAAGCAATCAAAATGCGTCGGCGCTTTTTTGTTGATTTTTCGCTGGCCGGGGCTTTAAAATGCGAATGTATTTTACATAACGCATACGCCGCGTGAGCCCGCTGCCATTGCGGCGATGGCAACAACGCTTTCTCGATAAGTTTTTGATAAATATTCCCCTCCTTGGACGCTCCTTGTGCTCCTTCGTCCTGACAAGTGGCTACCATTTTTTAATGTCACTTTTTGTGTGTGCTTGTGGCCACAAGGGGGTGAAGTGGGCGCTTTTTGGGGGCTGGGAGGCTGGGGGGCTGGGGGGCTTCGCGCTTGGCGCTGTCTTCACTGCCCAATGGAGCGTACATTTTGAAATTGAAATCGGCAGGGGCGGCAAAGGGAAGGAATGAGCCGCATCAGCAGCAGAAGCAGAAGCAGAAGCAGCCGCTGCCAGTTTCTTCTTTATCTCCCCGACAGTCGGTGGATGCTTCATTGAGTTTTATGTAGAAAAATGCGCAAATACACGGAGATATATATATAAGGCGGCATATATATAGCCTATAGATTGCCGATGGGCACTGCCTCACAGTCTGACCAGGCAAAAACTCATAAAACTTGCAGCGGCTCCTTGGCTCCTTTGGCTCCTTGGGCTCCTTGGGCTCCTTAAGCTTGGTTAAGCGTTCGCACAAAGTGTTAAGTCTCTTACTTTGTTTTCCCCTCCCCCGATTTTGCCCAACCTCTGACCTCCGCCTCCTCCTGCTCCTCGAGCGCCCCTCTGCGGATGTTTGAATGCTTTATAATTACATTTTATGTGCCATCGTTGTGTATATAAGATGCCAACAGGTGCAATCCATCGACTCTTCGAGATGAATTAAAAGCCTGCCAGTACACTGCACCAAAATTCAAGTTTGCGCAATTCAGGGCTGGACAAAATATACTGTAACATTTCGTTAAAGATATTTTTAGCTTAAAATCGTTTCAAGGAGGTTGGCTTCCTTAAAATGTTAGCAGGAGTTTCTTTTTTTTAGAAATGTTGTAACCTGCCGCAAAGTACTGTGGCAGTGTAAAAGGCACGCAGAAGTCAGGAGCCTGTTCCTCCATCTTCGTTTATTCAGTTTACAGTCTTTATTGAATGTTTGCCTTTGGCTCCACGGATTCAGCGTTGTAATTGCTCGAGCTTAATGGCCAATCGGCGTATCCTGTCTGCAAAACCAGTTTCTACCTACTTCCCGAGCCACAGTGGAAAAATGTAAATCCGCGGAAATCGACCGACAATATCTGATACCCGCGACGATTCACTCATACTTTTTGTGATTTACATTTGCGACAGCTTACAGTCTCCTGGAGACACAAAACTCCCTGTTCGCCAAAAACTCCGTCAGCTTGTCGTAATAAACGGGAGGAACCATTGGTCCGTTGGTGGCCGTAACATTAATCCGTTTCCGGGGACATAAAGTGCGGCATTATCTATGTGTAATGAATGCCTGGTGAATGCCAAGTGAATGTTGAGTGTTTGAGTTTGGCGAGTGAACGAGTGAACGAATGAACGAATAAGTGCGTCAGTGAATGGGCAATGATGCCGGATTGATTGCCAAATAATGGAGTTTCCCACGATATATGGGGATAGAAATTCGGGGTTGAGTCAGCTGAATAACGAATTCCGATTACTTTGCGCTCGATTTTGCCAGGGATTGTAATTCATTAGAAAATTGTGTCCGACAATTGGCGGCGTATGAATATTCAATGATTTCCGATTGAGATCTTGATTGAAAAGCGATTGTTTTGGCGTAACTTAATACTGTTTAGTTGATATTTTTTATAGTTTAACAGTGATCCATTGGAAAACTATAATATATTGATATTTCAGTATTGCTACTCATAAGATTACAGCAAAGTGTACAGCTTAACCAATTGACAACCTGATCTAGTGTCGAGCATAATGATTGATTGGGGTCAAGTAGCTACCACTAATTAGATAATTTCCAGGCCCATTCCGCCCAGCCTCAACTTACCCCCGTCAATCAGTGGCCATCAATCACGGCGGCTGGATAGTTGGCCAACTTGTCCGTGCGAAAAGGTTCAATTACACACAAATCAAACTTGCCGCAAAGTTCATGAACTTTGTGCTGAGCCCCCGAAACTTACCTTTATCAGCCAGCATTCCATTCCACTTGTTTTATATTAGAGTTTATTTGCAGTCTCAACAAGACAAAAATGTATAAGGATTCTATCACCATTAAGCTATATTAGGGACAAAGAAAAATATGGTACATACAAATATTAAAAGCATAAATTTATCTGGGCCATTATCTGTACCACAAAGGAAAGAATTTGGATTGCATTGGCATTAAAATAATTGTATATGAATGCTTCAGTTGTTGTAAATCTTCTTCAGTACACTTTCGCACTTTATCATTTTGTAATTATCAAGTGTCGAATTCTTAAGATTCCCAACTTAATAACCCTTTTCCCTGTGTATTTGTGTGTGCTGTGGCAAATGCCGATGTGGTTGCCCTTTAAACGACTTTTGCTTCTTGGAATTTCTTGAAAACTAAATCGTTTCGGTGCGAAACACTTAATGATGTGCTTGTGTGCCACTGAGAGTGTGTGTGTGTGCGTCTGTGAGTGTGAGTGAGTGTGTGTGCTGGTGCCGTGCTGTGTGTGTTGTGTTTGCAACTAAATTGTTAGACATTTTAATTAATTTCCACTTTAATGTTTACTTAGCTAAATGTTTTCCTTCCTGCCTGCAGGCAACAACAACGGAGACTTCCAACGGATACGACAGCGGCAGCTAGAGATACTTGTAACTAAAGTGACATGAGGCCTTAACAACAATAACACCAACAAAACAGCAACAGCAACAGCAACAGCAACAGCAACAACAACTACAGCATCAACAACAGCGTCTATAAGAACAAAGGGCACGACAGCACCAAGAGCGACAACAACAAATTCAAACAAGCGACCGTAGAGCACTAAAAACCAAATTACAAACAATTAAAAGCGAGCACAGGGAAGGATCCTCCAGGGAGAGAGCTTGACAACGGTACTGCGCCACGCCCCCTGGCCAGCCCGCCCACACACAGACGCACACTGCTCAAAGGATACGGAAAGGAAGAGGACCCCACGTTCGCACACACAAAAAAAGCCATCTACATGCCTCAATGGCCGCTCCATCGTTTATGGCCAACTAAAACTGAGCAGCGGTCCGCACGAAGGACCCCCCCGAATTCGTCCTGGTTGCTGGGGAACCCGGCCACCACCAGTCCATCATCGCCGGGACCTTTGTCTTTGTTCCGCATCAGGACCAGAAGCAGAAACATAAACAGAAACAGCAACAGCAAGTGAAACAGAAACGGCAGCGGCAACGCCACCGAAGGCGGCAATAAAAAGTTTGCTTTGTGCGCGCTCTTTGGGGCACGAAAAGCCCTACAGCCCTGCGCCTCCTGCTGCTGCCACGCCCCGTTTTGAAACGGCGTCGCCCTCGTTGTCCTTGTCGTCATCGTCAGACGCCTGTGGGCACTCAATTAAGCCCAATTCAACGCAACTTGAAAGCGACAACGGCAACAAAAGCAGCAGCTGCTGAAAGTGACAAAAACAGCGGAAGGAGCAACAACAATAGCTGCAGCATAAATAATAACAGTAACAATAGTGGCAAGAAATAGCGGCAACACCTGCAACTCCTGCCCCACAGGATTGCATAGACACCGGAGCAGCGGCAACATTAATAAAAACAGCATTAGCAGCAGCAGACGCAACGCATCAAAAGCAAACTGCAGCATCAGCAGTGAAATCAACTAAAGCCGCAGCAACTGAAGCAGCAGTAGCAGCAGCAGCAGCAGCAGCATCTGCGATTAAAGCTGCAACAGCAACACAAGTGGCACAAGCAGCAGCAATTGAAGCTGCAAGCCCAGCGGTAGCAGTGAGCCGGCCACGCCCACGCCCACGGAACGCCAACGCCCGCGTCCACACACACAGGCACACACACAGACAACGCTACGGACACAGATACAAGCACAGGTACATACACAGATACAGATACAGATACATCCAGAGGAGCAGCGGCAACAGCGGCCACACGGACAAGGGACACGCCCACGTATCGCTGGCGTGGGCGGCGGGCGGTGGGAGTGGCTGAGTGGATGTCAGGATGAAACTGAGCGTGAGCGCGTATCGGGCGCATGCATCCGCACACAAGAAGATCCTCTCCAGCGGCTATCACTCACAGCTCAACTACGGCAGCACTGGAGCGGCAGCGGCATCCTCCTCGTCGTCGGGGGCCACTGCAACGGGCCTATATACGGTGAGTGTCCATGTGCATGATGTCCATGATGTTCATGATGCTCGTGCTGTTCACGATGTCCCTGAGTCCCTGGCCCCCACATCCTGCCAACGCTACACTCGCACACTTCCGTGCAGCGCAGTCCGCTTTTGATTCCGATTTTGGTTTCCCAGAAGGACAATCTGTGTCACCCTTTGGCAGCTCGTGTTTCAGTTTCGTATTCCTAGCTACACTGCAAAGAAACGGGGGTGTGCAGCGTTGTGTTATTCATGAACCTAAACTTCACTTCTTCAACCAAAAACTTGTTTCTTGCTCTTTCCTTTTTCTTAGCAACATTACTATGTATTTTATATCTTGTTCCTGGCATATACGACCCAGATTAATCATCCGCTTTTAGCCATCCGCCCTCATTTGAGCCATATTTCCCCCAACCTCTTGTTTCCTGTTCATTAATGTCGTGTGACAAACAAAGGCATACCATTTTAACATTTTCGATTATGAGTTTGGCTACATGTTAATGATATTGCTTTCAAGGGGGCGTATTAAAATGAATTGAGGCTATAGCCATTGGTTAAATTGTAGTCGGAAGCAGCTGGCAAATAAATATTGGAAACCCATTTGCGAAAATTGCCATGAAATGCAGCCTGGATTTTATTAAATAGAAAGGAAAACACATAACCATATCAGCAGAGGCAATATAATCCGGCAAACAGTAAAAATAATATTTCAAGAGTGCTGACTTACGTTTTAAAGTTGGCAAACATAAAACCATTGTTACACATACGATTTGCGAAAATATCCATGAGTACAGCTGGCTTTTATTAAAAGCGAAAGGCGGATAATTGGATAATTGTTAACTTACGTTTTCGAGCTACCACATGGACAACCATAAATAACACATGTTTTAATTTTAATGGAAATTTAGGGAAAGTGCATCAGCTTGGTGCAAATCATTTTACACAACTTCGTTAAGCTCGTTACCTGAATTGCAAACATAAAGTGGATACAATAAAACAGGACCCTAGATCAGCATGAATATTCATTAAAATTTCCAAGCTTCCCAAAAGTTATTTAATTTGTTTTGAAAGCACGAGCGAATAGTTTTGCGGCGCAAAAAGCCATTAAAGAAAATCAAGGCTCAATCATTAAAAGTTTACATCTTCCCGTCAAGTTCCCCACAACTGGAGTGCACCAAGTTCGCTGCAGCCAATTGGCTTACACAAATATATACAAATATATACACACACAATATATATTCCTGTACGTAGTGCCTCCGATTTGTCACTGGCTAATTAAAACGCTGCCCAGCTCACTTCTAACCCCATCATTCCTTCGGGAGTGTCCTTTCCATTCAGAATGGGGGCTTAACAGTTCGAATCGGAAAGCAGCAGCTCAAAATGCGAAATGCGAAATACAAAATCCAAATACCAGTTCCCTACACCCAGAACCACAATAAATTCCAATCAAGTTTTGTGGCGCAATTAATTGCCGTGGCCGCGACCATCAGCTGCTGGTGGCTCGGATCGAAAGTCTATATGCACAGCAGGGGTCATCCGAATAGGTGTTGGTCGAAAGGAAACACATTTAAATGTGAAATAAAATACCAATAAATTTAAAGCAACTTGCAAAGAATCAAGAAAACTTATCTTATTTAAAAACAATTTTTTAATATTCCTTTAAGTTTAATACGTTTTTTGGCAAAAACATTGAAAATAATGCTCCAAATTGCTCCTAATTGAATTGCTAATCGATTGGCATTCAACTTTGAAAGTCTTAATTGCTTGGGAAGTTTTGAAAATGTTGATCAAAAATTATCAAAAGCAATATGAATGGTTAGGTTATTGGTCTTAGCTGTCTGACCATTTTTAGTTATGTTGAAAACTTTTAATTTAAATGGTTGTTAGCATTTATAAATTGTGTGAAAATTAGTTAGAGCTAATAACATTAGCATCGGCACTGCAAATCAATACCCGTCGAATATGGTGACACTAGTAGCTTGACCACAGGTGTGCGTATGAGCATAGCCATCGCAATGGTGGCTCACAAGTGAAGCTTAATCCGACACTGAACAGATTTGTCAACTAATTGGTGGGAACGGCGCACAAATCCCGCCAGATATATGTTATGCGGTTTCCCCCATTTAGACCGTTGCCCAAATTGAAACCCTCCACTGGAATTAGCTAGTTTTGTCACGGACATGCAGCCACCCACACAAGCCCACACACACGAATTTACGGGATGCGGAGTATGGACACGGATACGAATACAAATACGGAATACGAATACGGATACGAATACGTATACGTATACGGAATACGGAATACGGAGCATGGACACGAGCATCGTCAATCTGTCCCAATGGTCAAATCGAAGCTTTCAAGTTTGCGGCACTCGAGTACTTATACAAGTACTTTACGCCCCCAACTTGCCCCAATGAAGCTCACTTTAAGTTGGTTTTTGGCCATTGGTGCTAAATTAATAATGGCTTTGGCTAACAAGTGGTTTCTGACACTGATCCAATCGAAGTGGCTGGGGCTCCCGACATCGTTTTATTCGATTGCGGCTGCAATTGCGATGTCGTGATTAGTCTCGGATAATTCCTATTGATTTTCCAGACACACTTTGCTCTCACTCAACTTAATCCCCACTGATTTTAATACTCGCGGTTGTTATGCAACTGCTGTGATTAGGAATGTTATAAGTCTCATTGATTTCTTTGGTTAATGCAGCTTATTAACATTTCTTCTTTGGTTTTAGGGTATTGAGACTTAAATCCTATTCAATCAAGTTTTTTGTAATCTTTATGTGGTGTTTAAATGAAATTCCGAAAAAGTTTGGTTTTATAAAACGCAGCCTATAAATACTTTTCATTTTGTGGTATTAGCAGGCTTAATTCCTTTAATTGAATTATCGATTGATTTCCAAGAACATAATCAACTAAGTATATTTTTTGTATATTTTTTTCGAATTTCTTTATTATTAGATTTTATAACTTTATTCCAAATTTTTCTACATTGTTGTTATTTATTAAAATTTTGTATATCCTATTAAGTAAACATGGTTATATATTTAAATCTGTTCATTTGAAATAAACAGAAATAGCTTATTTAACTTATGCGATGCAGATCGTAGGAAACGTTTCCCTCTGCCTGTTACATACTTTGCAACGGATCTAGTATACCCTTTACGCAACGAGTAACGGGTATAAAAATGAAATAACATTTATTAAGTTTTCCGTTGCCACGTGTTAAAATCCGATTCTGCATAAAAAATTTGACTTTAAGTCACTTTTAGTATTCGCCCAACTCGGCGAGGAATCAATAATGCAATATTTAAATTTTAAAAGCTCGCATCGACAAAAGTTTTCAGAGCTCATGACTGGTCCTGCGCCAACCAATTCATTCGCCAGTTTTCCCACCATCCGCCCACACAGCCAACCGCCCATCCCATTCCATCCATTTCCCATTTCCCATTTCAGCTTTCCCGGGAAACTCTGGCCCACCTGAAGGCTCCGAGTTGACCAAGTTTTCGTGTCACAGGCAATCAAATCAAAGTTTAATTATTATCGTCAACATCATTCGATTTAAAATGCACCGTGGGCAAAATGGCAAAGGCTCAGCGTCAGATGTAGTTGCAGATTCGAATGTCGATGCTGTTGCCGATGCCATGTGTGCCACGTACACATGTGGCCGCAATAATAGCACTCAAACATACAGAGTAAGAGGTTAAATCGAAAGGCTTTGAGTATCTGAAGGTGAAATACTAACGATGTTGAGTTATACCCAAACTATTTTAACTTCTAAGAAATACATTAATTTGAAACATAAAAGGCTTATATTGGTTGTAAAGCTATAATAGAAAATCCGGAGAACAGAACTGTGAGCATGTTGCTGCTTTTTTGCCCACCGCTGTACTGCAATCATTGACATTTGACCCTGTTTCGGGTTGAATTTGCATAATTAGCAATTAAGATGCGCTCAATTGCGATTGATGAGACACCTCCGCTTGGGTGTCGGCATAGAGCTATGTATATAGTCATCGCAGTAAGCCCAATTACTGCCGCCCAACTTATCAGTGCGATTATCCTTGCAGATGGAAGCGCACGAGCACGAGGCGGGCAAGTTTGTCAAGGATGTGGCCCGTCAGGTGCACGACTGCAACAGCGACACGGACGTCATCAGTCCCACGGGCACCAGTAGCTCCGGCGGAGGCGGAGGAGGCGGCGGTGCAGGCGGTGCCGGCGGATCCGGTGGCGCTGGCGGACCCAGCGACGGCGGCTACCATAAGCGGCACCACAAGATGGTCCGGGATGACGACAACAACAGTGCGGCGCACTCGTCGGACAGCAAAAGTCCTAGCCAGCGGTAAGTTCGATTCGCACACCTAAACACGCACACAGCCCAAGCAAATGAACACAATACACCTGCACTGAGCGAAAAATTGCAACTAAATTCAGGGAGGCGTAATTATAGCATTAGGTGTTTTGTGCATAGGGAATTGGAAATTGGATTTTGGTTTGAGTAAAATTGCTTTGCTTCTTGCATAAATAAATAGCTTACTAATAGTGTTGACTGCTTTCATTTAGTAAAGTGTTGTTAAGAAGATCAGTTGATTGGGATTTAAAAGCATCCAAAGCCCGATTTTAGAGTGCAGTTTTCGCCCAGTGCACACACCCCGACACGTGTAAAACAAAAGTTGAAAGCAGAGTAAAGAACGAGAAGGAGCATAACAGAGATGATTTATTCAAATCGTGCCAAGTTGTTACCAAACACATAAAAATAATCCGGCGCTGCTTGTCCTGCACTGCGCCCACACACACATAGACACACTGAAAAAACACTCCACTACACTTACACAACACATACCCATACATGTGCAGCAACTACATATACATAGGCACGTGCCGTAAGCGTAATTGATAAATGTGTAGCATACTTTGTTGGGCTCGCCTTGACAGCTTTTTGTACTCTGTATTTGATCAACCGTAAGCGACATCACATCCGTACTGGCATCCGTATCCGTAAGACAAGGACCAGCAGAAAGCGCAAGAAAGAAAAGCAACGACAATAAGCCCGATTCAATTAAATTAAATTACCAATTAGCAAGTCGCCCCCCTCTTCGCCACCCGAATATCCGTCTACGCCCATGCGAAACGTTGCGGTCTTAGCCAAAAGCCTGGCATTGCGAAATGGGAATTGAAATCTGAATGGGAATGTGAATGCGAATGCGAATGCGGACGGGACTTCAAAAGTTTCCAGTTTGAGTTTTGGTTAATCTAATCAGAAGTCTAAGATGCGGCTACAAGAAGCTCGATACAGGGACAGTGCGTTTCATTGCCGTAGGGCTAGCACAGCTTACTTTATTTTCACAAACCATTAAGTACGTACTAGAACTGTCTTGTGGTCTGTCTAAATCAATTGAAATTGACATCAAAAAACAAATACTTATTATTTCTATTTTCAAAGAAATATTAATATAATGCACACTCAATTATGTATTATGGGTTTGCCCTACAACTTTTAAACGCACCGTCCAAGCAGTCGATTACAAGTAAATGTTGAGACTGTGGTTTCAAAATTTTCTTGCTTTTGTAGTTGAATGGAACTGTCACTCAGACAGACACACTCGCACACGCACACACACAAACGCACAACTTTTGTTTGTGTTTATTGTGCTATTGTGGTGGCAAAAAGGAAATTAGCAATGACAATTAGCCGGGATTGCCCATGTCCTTGTTGCCTATGTGTGCGTTTGTGTCTGTCGAAGTGTCACAGTGTCAGGCTGTCGTTGTGTATGTGTGTGTGCATGATTTCATTAATTAACTCGACCCAGGCAAACGAAGGCGACGGAAGGCGGCTGAAAGAGGTCGAGCCGCCTTCCCGGGGGACAAAAGTTGACAACTCTTTGGCCTAATGGGCTCTCGCCGGGCGGAGCTAATCTTTGGGCACACGAATCCACTCAGCTCCACTCTCCAGAACGAAACCATGAAACCATGAACCACCACAACCACACTGAGCCACGGCTGCCACTTCCAGAATGCTAATGTGTCAGGACAAACAATTTAATCAAGAGCATAAACCGAGTCACATTTCCCTAAAAACAGTCCAAAAGTAAACCAATTTTTTCAACATTTTTACTTGCCTCTAGCACCATTAAAACACTGGTTGTAAAATATTTCTCGTACAAAATTATTTATTATTTAGTAAATTTATTAAAAAATTATAGTATAAAATGTACAGACATAGTCTTTGAATTATATTTAATGTGCAATTGTTAGAGATAATTTGATTAAAAAGTGGCAGCCGTGGGTCGATACCCTCGCAAATCGCATGTTATAATCAGAGTATCCACTTCTCGCATCGCTCGATCGGATCTTGAACATATATATACATATATAGATCCGGCAGCTCGTCGCTGGCCAGTGCGCAACTGCACCACTGTGGCTGCACCACCACCACTAGTTTAAGGTACACTGAGAGGGATAGACTTATACTGACGCCGGCACAACCGCATCCACATCCGCATACGCATCCGCATCCGCATCCGTATCCGCATCCGCACCAGGCCCGTCAGCGGCGCCAGGTGCGCCTCCATGTGAACAGTCCGTCCTCCGACCAGAGCGCCAGCACGCCAGTGGGTCACAGGCCATTGCCAGCGATGAAGACCCTCTCCTCGTTCATCAGCGAGCATCCTGAGGATCTTGTGGCGGCGGAGGATCAGGTCCGGAGTGGCGCCTTCGCCTTCTCCTCCGCATCCGCATCTGCATCCGCATCCGCCACTGCCAATGCCTCCAATGGCCAGCAGCAGACAACGAAGTGGAAGAGCCTGCGGGCCGTGATGGCCTACTACTGCTCCCTGCGGCGCATCAAGAGGAACGTTGCCACCCACAAGTCCCACTTTCAGTGTTCCCGTATTGCGTATCCGCGTTTTGCTAGCGTTAACTAACTAACTACTGCACAGAGAAAAAATATCACCTACATTTGGCCATTCAAATAAGAACGGCTGGTTAGCTTAGAACAACAGTTAATCAATCTATTCATTTCAAATCATTTTATTGTTATATTTAAACAAATTAATGGTTCAAAATTTATATGTTTCAAAATCCATCTTGATGTTACAAAAGTTACAAAATACATACATAGAATTTCATAGTAGTTTAACGTAGTAAACCTCAATTATATTAGATTGTCGTTTTTTATATTAATAGAAAGATTTCAGAACTACAGTTTCAGTTTTTAAAATGGAATAGAAATATGTATAGTATTATTTTTTATCATATTTCAAGTACTGTGGGAGGAAGTCTTTTAACGATAAGAAAATAATCTAGCAAGAGAATTGTAATAATTATAATGGCCAAGTGGGATGTTGTTTTTTTTCTCTGTGCACCCATATATGTGTGTGTGTAAACTCTCCTTGCGTGCGTGTGCGTGTATGCAGGAGAGAACCCTGACTCTTGCTATCCTCACCACCATCACCATTGAAAGCGAAGTCCTCGATCTGCCCCTCGATAATCGATACTTACTAACCCACCCACTAACGCTCATTGATCGCTCGCCCTCTCTCTTTCTCTCATGCCCTCACTCTCTCGCTCTAACAACGTACTAATCCGAAAACGTAGTGTATGAACCTATGTGTAACCTAATATGTAACCCATATATCATTGATGTGTAAGCGAATGCCAGACCTCTCTCAACTCAACTAAACTCTGAACTAAAACTCAACTCAAATATCGCCTGCTCGCTCGTTCGCTAAATCTATCCCACTCCCACTCTCTGCTCCAGATCTGTGTCTATCGCCCCCGCTCCCCCTCCACACTCTCTCTATCTCTCTGTCACTCTCTACAGTTAAGCCTCAATAAGTTTTCTTGTAAAACTTTTGCAAGTCTTTCGACCCAACGACCGACCACCCATTTCTTCGCACGACTTCACTCATTTAATAAGTGTGGAAAAGCGTTTGATGGGATTTTGCATTTATTAGCCATATGCACGCGTGGTCGTGCAGTGGGAGGTGCCACTGTAGCCCAGCGAAATGAAGGAAAGAGGTGTCTTGGCTGGGTATACGTTTTACCACTTACTGTTCTAGTTTCGGTTCATTTTTGGCAAAGGGCAACTTAAAAAGTTTGCCCTGGCTAAACAAGTTGATGCCAACAGACACACACACTTACACACACTCGCACACCCTCTTAAGCACACACATACTCAGACAAACACACACATGCTTATACGCAAGGGTGTACGAGGGACTTTTGCTTGAAAAATCTCTGCAAACAGCCAAAGTTAAAGTGGCTTTTGGCAGTGTGCGTTTGAATCGATATGTTTAAGCTGCTGACTGCAGTGTAGGCGAACTTTTGACACAAATACACCAACACACACACACACACAAAGAAAGAAGATACAGTGACGTAGACAGGGGGCTTCAAACCCTCTTTCATAAATGACTGTATTCTCACTTGATAGATATGTTAAGTAAATGCTTTGACCATTCCAACTGTTCTTTCCCAAGTGAATTTAAGGAATATTGCCTTTTACGACTAAAGAGGCAATTCAAGGAACTTTGTAATTAACCCTTGTAATTAGTCCCCTTGAAAAAGCCATCGCACGCCACTGGCAAGGGCACCACATTGCGCCTATGCATATGCCAATGCCACAGAGTACGCCAACCACCCAGATTCTCTTTGGCATTGTGCATGCGAAATGGGAAATTGCCTTCTGACTGACAACTTACAAAGAATTTGAATTTAGAAAATTGCAAATTTATGTAGAAGCCAAGTGAACACAGCACACTCAATGGTAGCCCAGAATTTATGCACCCTTCAGGTCCGATTGGATGTCACCATCTAGTTTTATCCTCTTTTTTCTGTATTTGTTTTGCCAACGAAATGGCATGCACTTGGCATCGGGCACAGTGAGGCCTCCTATACATATAAACCACCCAGAGTTTGCTTCCGTATGTTTCCTTGGTCGTGTGCTTAAGTAATTCCCTTACAAGCAACTTTGATTCGCAATCAAATTCATTTGTTCGATTCCGGCAATTGTGTTTTGATTTGCAAGCACTTGAAATGCGGCTCACATCCGGTGGCGCCGTCCGATATTTTCGTCTTTATTGCAATGTCAGCAGCCCAAGTTGCTCATTAACTGGGATGACCCAAATAATTGGGGTATTAGCCTTGGCTAATAAGCCATCAACACGTTCGCTGGGTGTCGCAAAAAAAGGGAGAAATTGTAGTCGGGAAATTTACGAGCAGGAGTTTGGTTTAAGTGTCACTGAAATGTCTGTGGGTGGATTTAAAATTTGTGTGCAGCAGTTTTATGTGAGTTTGCTCAAGTCATTTGCAGGAATAATTTCCATTCTTTTATAGAATTAGTGCAGAAATACCATATTGATTGGAAACAAGAGTGTGAGATTAATCATTAGTCACTGTAAATATATAGCTCGAATTTTTTGAATTCTTCTGCTGTAATGCATAATATTTAAACCAATTTAATAAACAAGAACAAAATATTTATAACACGCATTTGAAAGTACAAAATACACATTTTAGGTCTATGCCTTTATACCTTTACTATGTGCCTTTAATATGTATATATGTACATTTAAATGCATAGACCGACTCATTTACAACTTGATTTATGTATATTACAACTTTCTGCCACAATTACTTTGAGCGCATCCTTAGATTTCCGTGACATCCTGACACGTTTTAAAATCCAGCTGGCTGGGGAAAAGTGTAGCATACTTTTGCGGGGTGTCAAGTGTCCCCAGGCGGTTATAAATTTATCCCCATCAGGCATCAGGGGAGCATGGGAGGTGGGCAGATGGAGAACGTTGGCCAAATGACTCGACGCAATTTTTCAATTGTTATTTCATCCGCCATGTGCGCCCAGTCAGTCAAGTGGCGAACCAAACGCAATGGTTTAGCATTCCGGGCGGTCACGGCCTGCGACGGCCTGCGGGTTGATGGCCACAAAAACCGATAGCCGGGGACCGGAGACCGGAGACCGGAGACCGGAGACCGGGAACCGAAAAGCGAAAACCAAACCAGAGACCAAAAGCGAGGAACTCAGATCCGAGAATCGAGGAGGAGGCGTTAATTGAAATCCGGCTTAGGAACCGAATCGCCGGTTAACCCGAGGCGGCCTCACATCGGACATCATGCCATTAAACAATAACACTTTTAGCCAACCACATATGGGTTAACAAATACACGCACACACACGCGCGTTGAACCAACAGTAGAGTCCTTTAACATTTCGCTGGATGATTTGTGGTGCAATAAAGAATGCCATTTAATACCGGGCCCAGCTCTTTAACCTTTTCGAACCCGAACTCGAATGGTATCGAATCGAAACGAAACGGGGAATTGGCAAGCGCCAAAACTAACAAGCTCATTCTCAATTTATATTAAATCGAAAGTCCACAAATGGTTCAGCTGACCCCAAAAACAACAATGGGGTCATCCACAGATATACGCACACACGTACGCGCATTTCTATACATATATTCAGTGGTCTTTTTTGAAGGGGGTTTTGGTTTTTGGGGCTACAAATAAATGAGTCTATTGATTAAAGGTTAGAAATGTGATTGGAACTGGAAATATGATATATTATAGGGGTTTCGATCATTAGGACGGTATCTACTATTGAGAAACAACTTTTAGGTGGGGCATAGAACATACTTAGCGAAATTTTAGTACGATAACTAAAACCCCTTTTTGACAATTCGCTGCGGGCGCCACTGTGTGTACCTATTATATTTGGTATACAGAGACTATAGAGCGGGGTAATCTTATCGTGCAGCAAGCCTTTTTTCCGCTTGGCTTGGGATGGATGATGGGTTAAGAGGGGCCCGTATCACCCAGTTCCATGCATATGTATATATGTATGTGTGTGTGTGCCTCCATATCTGTGTGTTCCCGCGTCTCTCTCACCCTCACCAGCCTTCTCGCTCACTCCCTCTCTATGTCTGTCTCTGTCTCTGTCTTTGTCCCTGTTCCTGTCCCTGTCCCTGTCCCTGTCTCTTGGTTTTTTTGCCAATCTATTTCTATCGAGCTCTCTTTACTATGGCCTCCTCGAAAACATTACAATACAAAATGAATACAAAACGATAATATGTTAAACAACAACCAAAAATAATGAACAAAAATAAAAGTACAAAAGAAACAGCAAGAAACAAAAAGAAAATGAAATACTTTCAAAACTCGTTTAGGAAATCGCGTATCGGAGATGGAGCTTCAGATCCAGATTCCGATTGGTAAGTTATTCTCTTGCGTTTCTTATGATTTCTCGGTTTTGTCTCTGCACACCAATACGCAAACACCGAACACACGCATAGACACAGAGAAACAGATGACACACACACGCACACTTACACTTACACACATACGCATAGCTTTGTTCTGCTTTTGATTTGATTATGATTGTGATTATGATGATGATGGTCATGCTGTTATTGATGATGATAATGACGATGATCGGCATGTGCGCGCTTTGCATTTGAATAGGTCGCAAAAACAGCAAGACACATAAAGCATATAGAAGTAACTACATACATACAAGTATATAGAACAAATAAACAATAGAGTAGGGTTTTAGCGTTTTGCGAAGTGCGGAAATTTCCAAGCCCGCTGCTCCAATACAACACCACCACCAGCACACAGACTTTGGGCCGAAGATACGGCTGCAGTAATACCCTGTAAAAAGCCACAACACTTCGTAGGGCGGATATACACCCAACCACCCAATGAACAGACACACACACACCTATACGGCCACATCCACACCCACACCCACATCTACACCTACACCTATACAACCACACTAACGGCAACCACACCTATAGCTATCATTGTTTTCCTTTGATTTGTCTTTCGTTTAGCTAACTGCATTGCTACCAAATCGCTTTCGTTTTTCGTACCTCCTCGTGTACCACACGACGTATGCGTAATAATTTAGCCACCGCTGTAAATAGACCAATGAAACTAGCTAAATCAAAATAAACAAAAACCGAAAAGAAAAATCGAAATTAAAACCAAGCAAACCCTAAACGATAAAAAAAAAAACAAAATACAAAACATTTATCCTGTAGCCTGGCATTTGATATGCTGAATGCGAATAATAATTGTGCATAAATTAAGCCCAACCAAAATCAATTAACGCATCAGCTACATCCCCAAAATCGAACTGTACATAAGCAATGTATATATATATATATATAGCCACATCCATTGTGTACATCATGCAAACAAACACCTAGTACTAGATGCTATAGCAGAACAGACGATTGAATGGCGACCCTGAGCGGCTTGAGCAAAAGTTTAAAGTGGTAAAACCTGATCCCTTCCCCGAACTCCTCTCCAGAAATTCCCCTCCACGTAGTCGTACGATAGTCCTAGATCGAGTTCGTATATACTCGTAGTGTGTAGCTATGCTGTTGCAAACTGAAATTAATAAAAAGTAATGCCCCATTTCACCTTCATCGGTGGTCCGTCCGTTTTCAACAATCGTTATTGATTGATGACGCTTTAGCTTACCGAATTGAGCTCTTAAAGCTTTATAAATGATTTCCAGACTTTAAACGTGATTAATGTCGGTTTTCAGAGCTGAATACGAGCACTGAAATGCTACTGGCGCTTTGATATCACTTGTTTGGCTGCCTAAGAGTATGCAATGTTATTTTAAACTTGAATTGTCTGCTTAGGCTTCTTGGCACATTTTTCACTGCATACTTTTGCACACCTACAGAGTGATTTTATTCAGTGTGCACATTATTGCACGTTTTATGTATATTAACCCATCATAAAATATGTATAAGAACTGAGAGTGTGAAGCCATGCGATAGCACTGGTACAGCAAGTGCTTAAAATGTTTCGGAACAGATTTAAATAAATTATATATTCTATCAAGTTTGCAAGAGTACCCTAAGCTTCGGATTGCCGGAGAAACCGTTCTTTTCGTTTCTTTTAATTTCTTTTTAATTGTGAGAAACTTTTCAGTTTCGTCGTGAAAAGCTCACCTGGCAGACAATTTAACACTTTTCGCCCGAGGCCAAGAGCTATTTATATCGATGGCGGAAAATTCTTGGCCACTTGAACGCCACTTCCACTTTTCCTTCCTCTCTATCCCCAGAACATCTATCTCTCTCCGTCTCACTCTGTCTGTTTCGCTCTGTCTGTCTCTGTCTCGCTGCGATGCTCTACTGCTGCCGCTAAATTGTTTTCCAATTGCAATTTTCCACATTTGTTGTCAATTGCATCACGCCTATGATTGTTATTTCGTTTGATTACATTTGATTCCATTCCATTCCATTCCATTCGATTTGATTTGATTTGAGTTCAATTCGCTTGCGACTCGAACACATCTCGCTTTTGTAGTCATTTATCTAGATTCTAGAACTATAGTCAGATATGTATATATGTATATACTCTTACATTTACTAGTATATTGCATGCACAAAGAGACCTCATCTATTTATCTCTCTCTCTTTCCCTCGTGTTTCGTTGTGCGTTTCCGTTTCCGTTCCACCTTAATGTTAGCGTTACCGTTACCGTTGCGTGCGTTTGCGTTACGGTCTTTTGGGTTCTCCCATGAATGTTTGTCTTGCCACTAAGTATGCGTAACCATAGCCGTAATCCGTACTATGTAACCCGTAACCCGTAACCAGTAACCAGTAACCAGTAACCTGTAGCCCGTAACCCGTAGCCATACTTCTCCGTCATCACCAACTAGCGTAAGTGTTTGATGTTTCGTGTTACGTAAGTGATTACGTTCTATAAAAAGAAATAAATAAATAGCACCCGAGTAACGTGAGCGCACGCTTTATTGGAATGATCTTTTTAGTTGCGCTCCTTAAATGAAACTCCCCCCTTGAGTGCCCTTAAACAATAGTCATTAGCTGCCGTAGTTCGTTGTGTGAGACAATCCCTTGCGAAATACGTTTCCTGAATATCCGCATCTAACCGATTTCCATCTTCCACGTGCCAAAACAGGACACGATCGAACCAGCGCTGGATGAAGCTACGCACCACCGTGCAGATCTCATCGGCGATACAGAAGAAACCACCGCTCAAGCGCGAAGACTCCTTCCTGAAGCGTTTCTCGACTAGACAGATACCCGAAACACAGGTAACTAATATATTTGTCACTCTCCGTGGGCGAAAAGTAGAGAAAAGTACAGCTGGAGCTGTCAAAATGATTATAAAACTGTCTGAAAGTATGCAATCATTTGCCATTCTTTGGACATTGTTGTATTGTTTAAGCTGTTTGTACTCTTATTTACGATGCAATAATAACGTGTGTTTGATATTGTTAATTACAGGAAACTGTTGAAGACACGGGTTCAGAAAGTGCCTCTGGTGACGTCGACAAGAGTGTTAAGCGACGGCGACGCTATCTGCAGAAACGACGATCCGTTGTTAATCCAGATGAAAATTTTTACTTCTATTGGTTAATGATGTTAACTGTATGTGTTCTATATAATCTATGGACCCTAATTGTGAGGCAGAGCTTTCCTGAACTGCAGGTGAGTTTTCCCACAAAGTTTTCATTATTATTTTCTCGTTTTCTCTATCTTTATTTTTTGTTTATCTGGGGTGTGTGTACACCTTCCACTTTCCGCTTTCCACTTCCCATTTGCCCTTGAAAAGACTGCGGATAGGCCTTTGTTCGTCCTTTGTGAAAGGCGACACCCCTTTGACATTATGCCCAAAGAGTTGGTTGTAATGGAAGTTGGGCCTCCGTGGCCCATATAATGACCCTCCGGAGGAGGCATGTTGCCTGGGAAAACGCTGTTTTTTCACCAGAGGATGGGCAAAGAGCATCCGTGGGTCACCTGTCCGAAAAATACTTATCCGCTTTTTTATCTGTTTGCTCCCGTTCTTTGCCTTGTAATGACTCAATTATAAGACACGCAGTTTGGCCTGGGCAAATGTTTGTTTATGGCCCAGTTAGCTGGTGTTTGTCATCAGATTAGAACTGGCTACGGTCGGGCAAACAAGAGTCGACTGTGTTGACCTTTAACCCGGCCACAAAACCTCATCCTGTTTTTAGCCCGCACATTTGCAATTGTCAACTGCATTCCCCGTTTTAATTGCCCTTGACCTGGCCATAAAAATAGGCGCACAGGCGGCCCGTAGAAGACCCTTTTCACTTAATGTGACTTTGTGTTGTATGCACAGAAAACAATTACGCAGCTAACTACTAGTATTGATTTTATTTCGGACACGTTTCGTTACTCAGAACTATTTTTATGGCTTAAATTAGCATAGAGCATGGCCAATTACCCAGTTACCAAAAATACTCGAGGGCTCACAGCTATTTTTATTTACTCCGTTGTTTTTTCTCAACCTATGTGATATACACCATGTCTAACTCGCCATTTTGCTCCGTGTACTTGCCGCATTATTTTTGGCTAGCAATCTGTGCCCACGTTTTGGCTCATCTGCGATTCGATGACAGATGTTGTATTTATCTTAGATATAATAGTTCAATTACGCACAGGCTATCTGGAGCAGGGCCTAATGGTGAGTATCCGGAGCATCTGAGCCTGGAACCCATAACCATGACACTAACTTCTGGATGCCTTCTAGGTATACGACGACAGGAAGCTGGCCTGTCACTATGTTCACTCGCGCGACTTTATCTTCGATATGATAGCGCTAATACCATTGGATCTGCTGCAGCTGAAGATGGGCACACATCCGCTCTTGCGTTTTACGCGCTTTTTTAAAGTCAGTAACTCGTAGCTGCTGGGCATTAATAATGTGGTACTAATTTGCGGCCTTTTGCAGGTTTATCGATCTGTGAGATTTTATTACATCGTAGAAAGTAGAACAGTTTGGCCGAATTTATGGCGCGTTGTTAACCTAATTCATATCCTGTTAATACTGGCACACTGGTTCGGTTGTTTCTATTTTTTACTCTCCGAGGCGGAGGGCTTTCAGGTGGGTACATAGGCGTAAACAACTAAGTAAAATAGTTTATATATTTGGAAAAGCTATTGCTGCATGCAATACTCAACTTATTGTCAATCGGAATGAAGCAAATGGTTGGCTTGCTAATTGCATTTGATAATATTGTGTTTTTGTAAGCATTATCTAAAACCCCTGCTGATATATCCCGATACCCTAGGGCGACTGGGTGTATCCGTATCGACCTGGCGACTACGCCACCCTGACGCGAAAGTATCTGGGCAGCCTGTACTGGTCGACCCTGACCCTGACGACCATCGGGGACCTGCCCACGCCGGAGACAAATGCAGAGTGAGTAGGAATTACTGAGTGTATATATAGCGGAATACATATGGCAAATCGGGGTTCTGCTCTTACTTTCAACCAATCAACCAATCAACCAATTTCACCAATCAGACCGAACTTTTCGGTGGACGGCCCACGTTCTATTCCGCGGCGTGGCATTAAATCGCGCCTGCTTCAGTTTGGCTCCAGTTATGGGTACGATCATTAGTAGCATCCATCTGCGATTGTTAGCAAGGTCAATCAAATTCAGCGAATATCATGCAACTTGTTTGGGGGCTGTCCACCGATTCGTCTGCCTTGGTGTTATCATTTTGTAATATCTGAATATATCTGTTGCATGTTGCCCCACTGAGCGTTGGGCATCAAAGTTTTCGAAAGCGTGCGACAGCCTTGAACAGTTCCATTGATATTTGTCTGCCAAATTGCCTCCAAGGATTGCAAATAGTTTGTTAAGCCCCATCTTATGCTTTCGAAAACTTTGATTGAGCTTGCATAAAGTGCTTCCAGGAGAGAATATGACCCCTAATTCAACTGGGCCACCCTGTTTCTCTCCGCCAAGCGCGTGGATTACATGTGCCCTGCTAATTGATTGCCACTCGCTGAATTGCTCCTTCGCAGATATATTTTTACGATCGTTAGCTATTTGATTGGTGTTTTTATCTTCGCCACCATTGTGGGCCAAGTGGGCAATGTGATAACGAACCGAAATGCGAATCGTCTGGAGTTCGAGCGCCTGCTGGATGGGGCCAAGACCTACATGCGGCACCACAAGGTGAGTTCGCTGCTTTCTCCATCGCCAGCCCAACTAATGGACCGCCACGTCCGGGCCAATCCCCTTAGGTGCCCGGAGGGATGAAGCGTCGCGTGCTGCGGTGGTACGACTACAGCTGGTCCCGCGGCAGGATACAGGGTGGCGGTGACATCAATACCGCACTGGGCCTCCTGCCCGACAAGCTGAAAACCGAATTGGCCTTACATGTCAACCTGAGCGTGCTGAAGAAGGTGACCATATTCCAAGAGTGCCAGCCCGAGTTCCTCCACGACCTCGTGCTCAAGATGAAGGCCTACATCTTCACGCCGGGCGACTCCATCTGCCGCAAGGGCGAGGTGGCCCGCGAGATGTTCATCATTGCCGACGGCATCCTGGAGGTGCTGAGCGAGACGGGCAAGGTGCTCACCACCATGAAGGCTGGCGATTTTTTTGGCGAGATCGGCATCCTCAACCTGGACGGGCTGAACAAGTGAGTGGGCTCCTAAAAAACTAATTTTATTCATTCATCTGTTCATTGCGTGTTTTACAGACGCACAGCGGATGTGCGCTCCGTGGGCTACTCGGAGCTCTTCTCTCTGTCCCGCGAGGATGTCCTGGCAGCCATGAAGGACTACCCCGATGCCCAGGAGATCCTGCAGACCCTGGGCCGCAAGCGGCTGATGGAGGTGCGCTGCGTGAACAAGAAGTACGCCAAGGCGCAGAGCGACAAGGAGGCGGCGGCCTACGCGGCTGCCCATCCGCACCACCACCAGAGCCACCACCAAGGTCAGGTGCACCAGAGCGACAGCAGCGAGAACAGTGCCTCCAAGAAGATCGTGGACAAGCTGAAGCACGACGTCAAGGGGTTCCGCAACGTGCTGAAGAAGTCCAGGTGAGACCAAAGTCCGATCATTTTTATGAGTAAATAAAGCACTGGAGTACTTTTCATTTGGTTGCTCAGGCAAACGTGCGAACTGCTTTAACCTCACATGGCAATTCTGCTTGATTCTCCCCCAGGACCTCGCGCAAGAGCGATGAATCCCTGGAGATGCAGCCGCTGCACAACACCTCGCCGCGCGGCAGCAAGATCCTGTTGAAGCGAATGTCGCGGGTTCGATCGGACGAAAAGGATGCGGATAGCGCCGAGGCCAAGGACGAGTTGCACGACAAAACGCCCAGTCCGATTGGGGCGGGATTGCCGCTGCTGCAGCGGCTCCGTCTCCTCAAGGAGAAGCAGGTGAGTTGGCCTGGCCAGGCATGGGAAGCCATTCGCATCGGCATCGACATCGCCACCCACCTGCGGCCAGAAGCCACACAGGCACCGCCACAGTTACCACCACCGAGTCACCGGAAACCACACAGCTCTTTGGTTTTTTGTTATTTTTCGTTTCACTTTCGTTTCTTGTACTCACCCACTTCACCCTTTGCCCGACTCGGTTTTCCACACCCATCCAGAGTCACGACCACGCCCACTCTCACGCCCACGCCACCCACAAGGCTTTAAATGGTTTTTCGCCACAAGCAGACAAACAGAGCATTGAATGCAGAGCTTGACAAATGGAAAAACAAACCAACACGCCCACAAAACACAAACAGCCTAATGGAAAACGGTCTGAAGCCTGTTGTATCTGAGATTTCCTATAGTCTCCCCACCGACCACCACCCACCCAAACACCCACCACCCACACTTGCATATGTGTACAATGTTTCGATTCCATAATGTAATGCAGTTTGTACAAGTTGTTAGTGCACCTTCAGATAAAACCACCCAAGATAAATACGCTATTCCAAAGATCGTCATTATTGCAATCGAGCACGTAACGCAATGCAAACTATTTATATCTTATAGCGAACTATGCAGATGTAATAATGCTGCAGGAAAATCTGTTTTCCAACCCTTGGGAACGCTACACTTTGAAAAGCGATCAGTGATTGGCAGAATCCACATAAAAAACTAATTTAAAAACTACGATTAAAGGAATATACTTGCAAACTTTTTACCACTAATCTCCAGATATACTAGACTAGTTCATAAAGGTTGCCTGTTCTCTGTAAATCTTTGTACAAAAAAACTCTTGAGCTTATTTAGACGCTTTCAATAGTCCCCCTGCTTTCGCTTAGTGAACAAAACATGAATAATTTTAATTTACAGATGCAACTAACAGACAAACAAGTACAAGAAAAAAACAATGAGTTGGATTTGCTCCCAGATACACCATCGCTGACATTGCCCGCTTAAATCATGAGTTCGTTTGCATTTATCATTTGATTTTGGTTTAGCTTCCGAAATGATTAACGCCCGATCCAGATAAATTCGTGTTGTATGTAATTATCCCCAGCTCCTAAACAGTAGTTTTGTATGTGTCTTTATGTGTCTTGCACTAGGATCGCGAAGAGCGAGCTGTTAAGTCCACACCACCACAGAAATCTCCACCTCACTCACATGTAACGTGTACGTTATCGCCGCAGGAATCGATCCAGGAGGAGCCCGAACGCGAGTTCAGCGAAGGCTTTCCCCTGATCCAGCGACTCCAGCAGTTGAAAATTAAGAACGAGCCGCAGGCCAACGCCGCCGAACCCGGCGTCGTCATGGTAAAGCAAAACAAAACTATCAAGACAATATCAATATCAAACGAAAAACAGCAAAAATACTATATAACCAGACATAGCATCCGAAACCCATAGAAGCAAGTCCTTAACTTCCCCTGCCGCATTGGGGGAACATGTCCAAGTGAAAACACACTTCACGTTTAGCCTTCAATAGTTAGACTAACCAGAGCGCGCCAAACTAACCTCCTGTTAAGTTCATGTTCAGTTAGAGGCAGCAGTACCCTTAGATTTCCCGTACAGCTAGGATCTAAGCACCACGAGTGGTCATCCACCAGTTCATATGAAATAACAAAAAGCCAATTACATGTCGAGGTTACAGTGCCGGTTAAGTTTCACGTTAAGTGCTCCGTTTCTCATGCTCCGGTTAACAGAAAGAGTTGTTTCCATTGCAGGAGTATGAGAACAAGCATCATTTATTGACCTTATACCTTCTATTAATACACGCAATCATCTTTCTTTCCCCAAACGAACATCTAACCCGATGAAATCACTCAGGTCAACACGCCGCCCAACATCAGCAGCAAGATAGACTCGCATTTCGGTGCCGGCCAGGCAGCAGGAGGATCGCATCCTGGCTCAAATGGTGGAGCCATCGGCGGCTCGGCGCCGGGACAATCGCTGACGGTTGCCCAGATCAAGCCCATCATGAAGGTGTCCTTCAAGCAGAAGATCCAGCAGCTGCAAGGTGGCGGCGGAGGAGCCAGCAGTTCGCCGGGTCCAAGCACGGGGGCCATAGCCAAAAAGGAGCCACCAAAATCACTGGCTCTGGTGGCCAAGCACGCGACATCCGAGGATCCCGTCGCCGCAGCCGGATTGGGTTTGGGATTGGGGTCTGGTTCTGGTGCTGGCATTGCCACCATATCGAAGAGGGTAGTCAAACCCCAAAGCCATCGGATGGCCACGCCGCTGCAATCCGATACGGACACCGATGGCACGCCCATCAAGCCGTGGTCCAAGCTGAAACTGGCCACCCTAATGTCCTCCAGCTACACGAGCCTAACCAACTGTTCGCCGGATGATCTGACCTCACCGCTGAAGAACTACTCGCTGAGCAACATACCGCAGCAGATGGAGACGCATCCGCGACCACGTCACCACAGCGCCAGAAGCAGTTCGAGATCGCCGCGTCATGGACACCACCATCACCATCATCATGGCTACCACCAGCAGGGGCAGATTCAGGGGCCAAGCTCCACGAGCACCAACGGATCCGCGGCCAGTCAGGCGAACCAGGTGACGGCCAGCGCCAAAAGGGATTGCCTGCGTCTCCAGAAGCCGGAGCAGCATTTGCCCGACGGCGAACTGACCGAACTGGGCGGAAATGGACGGAGGAAGCTCTACCAGAGCGTGTTCGATCTGTCGCCGGAATACTGCGGACTGCCCTTCGTCAAGCGATTGAAGATCCTCAATGAGCGCCAGAAGCTGGCCGAACTGGAACGGGCGCTGCAAACGCGCAGCTTTAGCCTGGACTGCTCCAAATCCGGGCCGGATAGCAAGGTGCCCATCTCGGAGTCATTGTATCGATGCTATAGCGACACCTCCGGCATCTATTCGCAGTTCCTCAGCACTTACGAGTCGACCACCAGCTCCACCTCGATATCCACCAATACTTCCGCTTCCGCCTCCGCATCGGCATCCGCTTCCGCTTCTGCATCCGCATCGGATAGCAACTCCAGGCAGTTGCAGTACATACCCCTGCCACTCAGTCCCGAATCGAATGAGACCATGGAGCGGCGCAAGCTGAAGAGCATACTCAAGAAGCTCCAGATGGGCGGTGGTCAGCAGGAGGAGGCGGGAGCGGGGGCGGGAGCGGTAACGGGGTCAAAGGTCAAATCCAGTGCCAGCCAAAAGGGGCAGGGGCTGCCGGCGGAGCCGACCTTGGAAGGGTACGTGGCTAGGCACAGTAAGCTCTTGAAGAGTGTAACCTTCCATTCCACTCTTTCCAGCCCGCCCGCCAGTGCCAAGGAGGAGGAATCTCCCTTCGGCGGTGCTGCGGCGATCGGTTCGGTGAATAATGGTTGCGGTAACGGTAACGGTAGCGGTAGCGGTACGGTTAACGATAGCAATGCTAATTCGAGTTCGCATCCGAGCAATAACGGCAACAGTGCGTACACGTGTCCTCCACCGGCGGTGGCTTTTCCGTTTCCGGTACCCATTGCACCAGCATCCGGCTCAGTTCCACTTCCACTGGAGCCCGGAGCGTCGAGTGCCTGGTCGCCGACGTTGACGTTGGTAACGCCCACGAATTCGCCGCAGGAGAGCTTCGCGTTTCCCGCCCAACTGCAGGGGGAGTTGGGCGGACACGGCACCGGACGCGGACTCGTTGGTGGCGTTGGCAGCGCCTCAGCGTCGCTGTTGCCAGCGGGAGCGGGAGCAACTGCATCCGCATCCGCATCCACGTCCACGTCCGCCTCGTACGTCGTCGAGTGCTCAGCGTCGTCGAACCAAATCCTCCATGCCCAGTCCACCACTGATTTGAATTTGAATTTGCAGCTCAGGCAGAACACAACCAGTGCGATGGGTGGAACGGGTCCAGGGCAGCGGATTGAAGGTAAATATATGTGTTTCAGATCGAGCATTATAGATCCAAGATCCAGAACAAGAGCAATGCCTTGCAACGCTTGTCACTACCCAGATTGTAAAATATATTTGAGAATAAGAAACACGCTATGTAACTCTAACTCTTTCTCTCTCCCTACTCGAGCATATAAATACACCGACACTTGCGCATGTTGCGAGTCACTCATACTCGCACAGAAAGAACTTTCTCTCGCTTTGCTCTGCTTTCTTCTCCTCCACTCCCCTTCAAACTATTCGTCTAATCATCTATTTGCGCCACCGCTTTTGATATAATCCTAACTTAAATCCTTGCATGATAACATTAAGAGTAAAAGGCTTTCGAATCACAGAATTTGTGTATTATTTTATAACCTTTTTGCCTATTATACATTTGCGATATCATTTTTAAATTACTTGCGTTTGCTCTTCTACACCTAAGCTAAGCTAAGTTTCCTCAAAGCTATAGTCTCCTGTCCATCCTCAAATAGTAATCTACCTTTCTTATAACTGCTATAAGGAACAACTGTTCCCCTAGACTTAAAATGTTAAATGTTCCAAATCCCTTGGCTATCCCTTCAAGTCTTCCTGTAGCTCCTCTAAAGAGTTACCTGTTTGTACCTGCATTTTTAACCCATACCTTCTCAGGGTTTTACCGAAATGTAAGAAAGAGCTCAAGTCTTGAAAAGTAAATAATGGTAATCGTAGCTAAAAACACGAAATGTGCACAGAACGGAGAAACTTATCAGCTGATGGGCAAGTTACTCACGCATTGGGAACGAAATGGAATGAAACAGCCGCCATGATGGATGCTTAAGTTCTTAGGAACATGTAACTAAAACATCACAGAACACACAAAGTCACACTGAGCTTATGCTTTTGTATATATCAAAATAACCCGCTAAAGAACACGATTCTGTATATATATACACATATATATACGCGTACCCTATAGAGATCTCAGCTGAGCTTGTTTGACGGAGCCGGTGCAACATTTGTATGGTAATGGGAATGAGAATGCGTGACGTTTGTAAATAATTGTCGACGATGTACGTATGTATTGATGTCAATGCAGATGATGCACTATGTATATTTTTGATCCGTCTTTGTCTGCCCTTAATACTGTATAAAAACCATTCACCCACAATCTGAACATCTGCATTGGTATACAGAGCTTCGTGCCACGAAGTCAACAGTACTTGATAGTTGAGGCTGCCACGTAACTGAATCGAAGTACTATAGCCTAAGTATGTAGTGCTAAAAACGCTTTAACACCCACAGCCTAATTTAATGTAGTAAACTCTGATGAATACAATTGTGAATGTGCTCTCACCAAAAATGCAATGAAAACTCACCTTTGCCAGACACAAAGTACCCGTTCCCGTAATTTCATCCACATCAACTGTTCAACGTTCTCACAACGATGTATGATCTTGAATTTAAAGGCTTCCCGGAGGCACAGGACTACTTCAATCAGATCCTGAGCGGCATCAACCACGTGATCAAGACGCACATGAACGAGATGCACTCCAAGTTCGAGACGCAATTCTCTAGCATGGCTGGTGAGGTGCGGCGCCGCGACGCCATCATTGCCCAGCTGCAGCTCAAGCTGCGCTCCATAGAGGGCAAGTCCTCGGCACCAGCGCCAGCGCCATCCTCATCCTCCTCCGCCTTGGTCCTGCCCATCAGCCGGCGCCAGAAGAAGATGCCTCAGCTGTCGGTGGACGACGACGAGCCGCCGGAGGAGGAGGACAACAGCAGTTCGGGATCTTCAGCGGAACTTTTGTTTATGGTAGGCTTGGCACCTACCCAAATTACGCAAGAAACTCGTTGTATTAATCCTGCTCCTTTCCCACTTCCAGCGAGGAGACTCTCTGGATACAGTGTTCACCTCATCGCCGCCCATCCAAGGCGGCAGGCGCAGCATATCGCCGGGTCCTAGTCGTCATCATGCGGCCTCGGCAAACGCCCTGAACTGTCCGAGCAGCTACTACGGAGGACCCGGCACCCTGAGCTCCCGCCACGCCCAGAGCCACCCCAGCTTCTATTCCGGCCAGGGCAATGGACGCAGCAGCGGGCGCAGCAGTGGCTATCGCGAGTGGAGCGGCGCATCGGAGACCGGACACCTGGGCAGCGGGAGCGGCTCGAGCGGTGCCGTTATGGTGGCGGATGTCACGGGCAATCTGGCCCGCCTGTCGGACAGCGTGATCCTCGACATTGGCGAGAGCTCCAGCTCAAGCTCCTCGTCCAGCAAGATCAATATGGCCGAGGTGGACGACGACGAGGAGGAGGAGGATCCGAGGGTGCGCGATGCTCGAAACGAGGGGGATATGGACGACGGCGGAGGTCGTTTGGCGAGCACCAACGACTGGGAGGTGCAGATGCTGGCCGCCGAGATGGAGCGGCAGGAGCGGAAACGTGGTCACTCCCTATCCGACAATCTGGGCGAGCTGAAGCACTGCAGCACTTTTCTGCGGCGTCGCCGGAAGTTTAGCGACACGGAAACGGAATTCAGTGAGACGGACATGGAGGAGCAGTTGGCCAGATCGGGCAGCGGCTCCATGCAGCCCAGCGCATCAGCACCATCTGGTTCTGGAGCCGGTGGCTCCACATCCGCGGGACACCAAAGCGGCAGCCAGCGACCGCGGGCCTCCAGTCTGGATCAGTTCAATCTGCGCTACGGCATCGGGCGCGGAATCTTTAAAGCAATGAGCATCGACCGTGATAAAGACAAGCTTTGAGAACTATAATCACGACCAAATCTAACCCGATCCCGATCCTGGTCCCAATCCCGTTCCGAGTTCCCATCCCCATCTCCATCGCGACCAGAAGCAAGTTCAGCCGCAGACAAGCAATAAGCAATGGAATTTGGACAGTATTACCATGGTACAAGAACTAGGTATATGTATATGATATACAGAACTAAGAAGATGTCAGGACATATAGATCTATATTCTATATATGTTTAGCCCTAACGAAACCCCCCAGCAAGAGAATCGATATATACAGATATACACATATAAAGTAAAACCCGATTGAGATATATATATACATACATATATATATAATACATGTAGATTTAACGGAAACAACAACTACTAAGAACACACAAATAGCCAGAGAGTGTTCCCACCCCGGTTCCAATTTCTATTTATTTCGCTTTCTTGAGTTGTAATCTCGATCCCTATTGAATATTCTTGCAAAATGGTAATATTTTAATCCTCGACTATCTATGCCTGCTTTAAGGTTTTCGTTTTATTGAGTTGCCCCATCATTATGCAAGTGTACTTAAGGGTCTATCAATATTTTCTTAACGTTACTTAAAATTTACCAAATTTGTGTGACCCTGTGAGAGAATGTATGTGCGTAGAAGATACTTCCCACATTAAACCGTCCTAAAAAACGTCCATTCCACGATGCGCATGTTTGTTCATTTTGTTTGAATCTGAATCTGTGACCGAAGATAAAGATGCAAATCGGCATTTGTATCTCGGCCCTAACCCAAATCGGTATATTGATCAGTTGCTCGTTTAGTTCGTGGACGGCGGGTCTGGGCCTCTCTACAGATGTATATACCTCTTATTGTTAGAGACTATGGAACATATATATACATATATATTTTAAGTACGTACATACATATACACAGAAATATACATAGTTATATATCTATATATGAACTAGTCTAATGAAAACCGAAAGCTTTAATAACTTATATAGAAAACTATTTAAGAAACATTTTAAATACTAATCGATTCGGACAAATGTTTTGAAATAGAAAAGGCCAACCCATTTCCCACACAACTAAAAGAGGAAATTGAAAGGAAAATGAAAATGAAAACAAACACACTAAACACATACATAAGGCATACACCTGCATACGAATATCTAAATATAGAGCCTATAATATGCATAGATTAGCGATTTACTTGTTGAACACCCTCGGTTAAGCCTATCGAAGCGTTAGTCAAACCTATCGAAAAACTTAGACTAGCTCTGTAAACCTTAAGCCTCTTAAGCATCCAAGCTCCAAAGTCGAAAGTCCCTGCATCCATTCGGTTTCGTTCACCTGATTCCTCGCTTGTCCTCTGACCTTTGTCCTTTGACCTTTGACCTTCACCTCATTCTCCAATCCTAACTAGAGAAACTATCTCGCCATAAGGAAGGCAACTCTAGAACTTAAGTAGTTTAGTGCAGTTCAAGATCTATTTCGAAACCGAATCGAGTTTGTCGCACCGCCGCCGAAAACAAAAATGTATCTCAAGACTATGTAGGCAGGAAACACGATTTATTGTTGCTTTTTCATTTTTGATTTCTATTTTTGCTCTGAACTAATCGCTTAACTAAATACAGTTACTAGCCAGGCCCTAGACGCACTCACTAATCAGACGGTAGAGTCCGTAAGGAAAAGTTAGACACCCAACTCTAGAGTTTCGTAGTTTCAACTAGCCACAAAAAAGGATGTTAAGCTGTACTCAAGCCACTTACTATCGCTCTGGCTACTTCGGCTATCGATACCTATCGTACTGTACTAAGCGCACTAACCTACACACACAAACACAATACAAACACACCCACACACTTAAAATGAAAAAAATCAACCTTTAGGATTAGGTACTATATCAATTCAAGTATTTTGAAAAAGGTTTCTACCTTAAATGGTAGGAACGCATTACAATTTATGAAAATTTTAACGAGTAATCAATATTTATCGCTGACTTTCCTCAAAAACATCGATAAATGCCGATTATTATTTCAAATTGACACTACTTCTTGGGGATAAGCATATTTCGTTGATTTTTTATGAGAAATTCATTAATGGAACACAATACAAATTGGAAAAAATTTATTCACGATCAATTGAGTTGTAATCTCAATAGATGATTTATTGTGCAAACCTGTTTAAATTTGTATAATTTAGTAAACTCATTTTAAAATCGCCAGAAACTTTACCTAAAATAATTCAAGTAGTTGTAAAAAACCGACGAAAAATGGTTTTCCCATTTAAATAAAATGTATTTCTCCAAAACTAGTCCACAGCAACATGAAAAACCTGAAATTCAAGGAACAAGGAATTCTCAAATGGGTTCAATACAATGAAAACCAAAGCAACCAAAACCAAAAAGTACACAAAAAATGCAAAACTTAAATGGGTCACAGCCAGCTAAGCAGTCCAACTAAATGTAATAAGACATAAGAAACGACAAGCACAACACTTATGTAATTCAAAACACAGCCGGAAGATGAAGCAGGAGTAACTCTATAAGATTTTGATTTAGTCGTTTATTGGGTTCATTTGTTGAGGAGGCCAAGATTAAATGCCAAGGAGGAGGCCATTTAAATTGAATTACATACGCCAGGGACCACAAAATGTCTGTTTTTTTTTTCTCTTTTTTATATAAGCGTGTAAACACAATAGGAAAACCTAGAAAAGTTAATGATAATAATGCCCGAAACAGGAGAGTTATTGACCAGAAGGTAGCCATCATATAATCATCGATATACCCTTAGCCAGGCACCCACTATATAGGTCCCATTCCCGATATATATACATCTTTATATATACAAGTATGTCTAACTGATTTCTTACGTACCACTCACTCTCGGTTCAATTGTTGTCAGTCAACGAAAAACTCTGTGAGTCAATTATGTATATGGATCATTTTTAATCGATTGTTTTTAACTGAAGATATGCCAGATGACCGATTATGACCTACTCTGTATTGTACTATATTGCATTGAATATTGCGGATTGTTGTCGTTGTTGATTTTAAATTTTAAATTGCTCGTATTTAAGTTACCGATATTTTTGTACATTAGTTTAAGGTAGCGCATAATAAGTCCCACGAGTCTAGAGATAATTCCTATATAAATGTATAAATACATTTTTTTTTCTCCTAATTGCTAATTTCGCAATGTTGACCGAATACTAAAGAGAATGTACTTATAGTGAAATTATACGCAAAAAATAATTTAAACTAAACTAAATGAGAACTAAACCAAAGCAAAAATGAAAACAAACTAAGAAATTAGCACATGTTAAAGAAGCGCAAATAAAAGTGAATACAAACGAATATGACAACAAACTTGCCTTCGGTTGCGAGTTACTTTGTAGTGTGCCAAATCTACATCATATCAGCTTTTACTCACCACAAGGTATGATGTTGCTGCAAAATAATACGAACCCCAATTCGAACACTAAATGAAACTACGAAAAACCGATGCAAGTGAAGCTAAGTCCCCAGCAGGCAAGGTGAAATATGAATGAGAAATCGAGGCAAGCAGAACTTATTTGAATAAAAGAAGAAAATGTAAAAACTAAGAAATCATTTTATTTGGATGGGCGGTCTTTTATATATAAAAAATCCAAGAAGAAACTTTCAATTGTAATTTATTTAATTAACCCAGGAACCAATATTGAATTTAGTTTCAATTGAAATATGTTCAATAGGTAACGACTTGTGCAAATATAATCAATAACTCTGGCCTTGTCCACCTATTGAGCACTTATGGAAACTCTAGCGGAGATCGGCGCCTGCGCAAAGTTGAAAAGCCGCTTAGGTGTTATATATTTTATCATAATATATTCATAAAGAACATTAGCTTAGTTCTCTTTAAACTGAAATACATAACACTCGAATAACGCAAATTTAACCAATACATATTTCCTCAAGCGGATTACTATGCCACCGTCCACCTATTGAGCTTTTCTGGAAACTCCGTGAAAGATCGGCGCCTGCGTGGAGCCCATAAAGAGCCCAAATCTTGGGGTTGCTATGAGAGCTTTTCCGCTTCGGTGGCAACGCCATCAACGCAAAAAGAGCTTTCAATCATCCCCCAGTGCGATGCTGATGCCGCTTCTTCTTCTGCTGCTACTGCTGCTGCTGCTGCTGCTGTTGCTGCTGCTGCGGGTCGTACCGTGTGGATTCCACTTCCTCCGAGCCGAACAGAAATTCTCGGACACACGGAGCACACGGACCACACAGCGCGCAACACGCAACACACAACACACAACTAGCATTGCGCATACGACGTGTGGGCCGAGTGGCACAAATAAATAGTTCACATTTGTTTTGCTGCCGTTTTTTGTTTGTTTGGCCCTGTGTTGGCGATTGTCGCTGTTGTTGCTGCTGCTGCCATCGGATTTGTTTATTTTTTCACAGTGATTTTTTTTGCCAGTGTGCGTGTGCGTGTTATTGTTAGTATCCAATGTGTTCTTGGTGATTTTAAGCAGCGCACGGAGCCGCAAATGGCCGCCTTGTGATTCCCCCATTTTTATCAGCATCTCCCCGAACTTCGATTGCCATTGCTACATTTGCACCAACTGACATGTAGCTGCGAATTCTGGGCGTGTTTGTCGCTGGTCGGCTGGTTGGTGGTTGTCAGCGGCGTTAAAAGGGGCAGGATACGGAATCGGTATCGGTAAGTACAACTTATACATTCATATTCGTATATTCGTACGGCGAACGCACGAAATGATTTGTTTACATTCAAGCGAATGGTTATGAAAAATTAGAAAAATGAGAAAAATGCGAAACATACCATCGCCGATTCGAATTTATTCGCCAACAGCATTTGTTTATTTGATCCCATGCATTGTTTCATCGCACATGGCCCCATTGCTGTGCTTATTTTTGATTATTCTGCACATTTGTTTGGCTTTGGGCTCGCAATCAAAATGCATATTCATTGGGTGATTCTGGTGGGTTATGGGAATGGGTATGGGTATGGGAATGGGGGAACCTCCCCTTTCTCATTTGGTAGGGGGCTCGGGAACCCCTTCTGTGCGCATTATGTAAACCTGTGGGCTGGGCCTCCATTCCACCTGCGATGCCAACGTTTCTGGGTTTTTTGGGCTTCGTTTTTTGTGTCCATCCATTATGCTGGCTGCGCTAATGTGCTCGGCTTTTGTCTGATTTATGCCGCAAAACAATCAAATTATTGCCATCCAACCCCTTTTGATCGCCGCATCCGACCCGCGAAGCTGGTGGTGCCCATTTTTTATGATATTTCTCTATTTCACTTTTGCGGACGCCGAGCCATTTCATTACATAGTCTCTAGCATGCACTGAGAAAAGCAATATACCTATGGATCATCACCAAATTAGGAATTTAGCTTTTTAGGAGTGATTAGAGTAGAATCCCCTGTGAGAGAAAAATTTAATTTTTCAATTAAATTTGTCAAAGTTTGTATTTCGGATGTGTCTTATTTTGCTTCTATTTAATGGTAATCAGCTATTATTTTCGCAAAATGTCAAGCCAGTAAAATCTATGTGTGTCCTACACGCTTGCACTTTCTCTCAGTGCACGTTCAGCTTTCCTATTTTTTATGCCGCTCTCCGTTTTTCCGCCTTGGGTTTTGTTTTTGTTTGCGTCTTGTTTCAGCGCTGAACTAGTTTTTGGCCCACCACCATTCAGCGTCGCGATTTTCTCGAGGAGGGGTGGGTGGTTCGAGAAGTTCCGGTCTGTTCGCTGGTGTTCGGTCGACTTCCGCGCTCTTCCGGGGTGGAGAGCCCTATGTCTTATATCATCATCCAGCGGCTTTTCCGCCGGCATCCGATGGGCCAGAGTTTATCGGTGCCTCAAGGATCCGCTCGGCCAAGGACGAGTACCCTTCGAACAC